GAGCGGAACCCTCCTGCCCCGCAGTCCCGCACAGCCCCCCGCACCACGTCTCATTCATCTGGGTTGCCTACAGCGAAGGTACCAGCGAACATCTACCCTTTCTTCCTCTGGAAAGGAAAATGCTGGTTAGACCAGAGCTCGGTATGAATTTTACAAGCGTCTGCTGCAACCAGCTCTTCCGGCCTCCAGCCCATCCGTGGAAACCGGCGCGTGGATGATGAACGCAGCCTCCTTTTGGGTGCTGACGAGGTTGCCAGGTCCCAGTTACCTTCTCCCACTCGCTTACTGAGCTGTGCTCTCCAATCCACCCTCTTACAAAAATTAGCGCGTTAATTAAGCCTTCCTGGTGAGTAATTGCATGTTAAGGTTTTTTTTTACAAAGATCTTTTGAGTCCTTATATGAATGTAAAATAAAGGTTACTACAGTGCCATTCTTTTTTTTTAATGGCACAGAATTAATTTCTTTAGAAGGAAAACAAAGACTCTATGGGCATAAGAACATAAAGGCAAAAAATCCCCTTATAAACACGTTATAATTTTTGTTTTTTATGTTTCATATGGAAACCAACACTTAGTTTCAGGATTAGCAGCAGTCTTTTGCAGGATATTAAGTCTTCGTCTCACTGACTCTAGCGTAGGCACACACATCAGTCATCTAAAAGTAGTTCCCAGAGTCTCATGCACCAGCATTCCTACCACTTCTCTGCTGATGCCGACAGGGGTGGGAGCAGGGCTGACATACATCTAAGCCGTGCCCCGAGCGTAATGCTTATATTCTCAGGCAGGCAGTTTTGAAATAAGATGTTTCAAATACAACAAACTTGCTGAAGGCCAAACTTGCCATTTACTCCATGACTGCTCATAGTTCCCGCGTAAATGAGGAGGGACTTGTTTTAACTGTGCTAAGTGCACATGGACTCGGTATTTGAACGGTCCCCATGGGGAGGAGTCTGGACCCGTAACACAACCTCATGCTTGTAGGTGCTTGTTCACAGCAGTGGTTTCATTGACAGAGATCCAATTCTATGATACACATCAACTTTGCTCATTTTGTTACTAATGCAATTATAAAGAAACCCCTTTTATGGATAAATTATTGAAGAAAAAGTCTTATAAAACAAATAAATAAACAAGCATTAAAGTAGAATTACTTAATTATCCAAAAACCACCAAAAAAATAAAAAACAAAAAAAATCAGAGCCACTTACAGGGCTTGATGGAGTCTTGGGCCAGCCCGGGCTGCTAATGCTATCGCTCTCATCTCCATGAAATGAGGAGATGCTAGCAGAGCTGGGGGACATTGGGGAAGGGACTGGCAGGTTGCCGGGGGTGGGGGGCTGAGAAATACCCTGAGAGCTGTAGCTATCCTGTGGTAGAGGAATAAAAAAAAAAAAGACAAAGGTAGGGCAAACTTTATTTAAAATAACAAAAAGTACATCCAGTTTAACAGACGAACTTTCATATTTATATAGACGTACAGACACACAATAACACACACATAGACGGTATTAAAACAACATTCTTAATTAGTACAATTCGGTGAGTTTGCTGATGCTGGACATGGCCACTAAGCCAGCATGCTCACTTCAAGCTCACACGGAATGCTAAGCATGGGTTACCCCTTATGAAAGAAAGGAAAAAAAAGCTGTTCACCTTATTTATCAAATAAGGCAGGAAAGCAAAATATTAAATATGTTGCTGTTGCTGAGGCGGCCAAAACAGGAAGCTATAAACTGAAGGCAGAGAAAATGGCTGCAAGAATCAAAACCAGGCAAGATCCCTTCCTTCTCCCCACCCCAGAGCACTTCTCTTAGGGGTCCTGTCCCGCCGCCCCCTCCCATAGCCGTGAGTTAATGCCGTAAGAACTAGTAACTTTCAGATCCACGCCATGGCGGGGTGGGGGGAGAAAGGCTACAGCCATGCGCACAAGTGAAGGCATGCAGAGAGAAGACCAGACGGGAGCAGCGTGGGCCAGCACCAGCCACGCAAGGACGTGCAGCGTTAGCAGGCAGCCCACCCGTGCAGAGAGGAAGTACCTTCGCCTTGCTCTCGGGCTGCGGAGTGCCTTCTTCCTTCCCGTCGGCTTTGAGAGGCAGGGGCAGCTTGGATTCACCAGGAGACATCATATCTGCAAGACCCATAGATGCTAATCGAAAACAGGAGAAAGAGTTTAGGATTATACGTGTGAATCCTCAGGTGGAGCGCCCGCTAACACGAGTTACTGAGCGATGCACGGGGCACCGGAATGTCCCCTGAAGCAAGGAAAGGAAAAGGAAATCGTAACTCAGAGCAAACTAATTTCTGAAGTCGACATAGCATGACGTTCTGGAATCCTTTATTTTAAAAAAAGAAGCAATCATTTACTCAAGATCCAAACCACTGAAAGTCAACTTCTAGCAGTATTATTCCATAAGCCCAGTCTCTAACTTGCTCATCAGGTGTGGAAAGCAAATGGTGGTTGTGTATGTTTTACCTGGTGACTAGAGGATTTAGTGCTTCCTTCATTTCCTAAATTCACAGAATCTATAAGTCTGCAGTCATCTGACATATTATAGTGTTTCATTCGAAAAGCTTATTTATCTATGCATGTGGCCTCGTCTATAATAATGGAACACAATCGTAACATGACTTCAAAGACAATGATCAAAAGTAAGCTTTGAAGGAAAGAATCTAGTTATTGGGCACGGGCTGGTTTCCTTCCGGCCTGGGGCACTGCGCACATCTGTCAGTCCTGGGCAGAGCTCAGACACCCAGGGCAAACACCCACGCAGCTCCTGGCCAACCTGATGACCCCAGGCAAAACTCCTTTCTTCCTCGGCTCAGAAATTCAATCAAATCCATCTACGCTTTAGAATGAAAGGGTTACCAAAGAACAACTGACTTATACATGTTTATTGCAAATACGAATAGACATTTTCAAGTGAAAAACAGAGTTTGAGTTTCTTTTTGAAGGAAGAGCGAGGCCACAGTGGGAATGAGTGTAGGTACCCGGGAGTGACAGCTGAGCTCCTGCAGGTCCCCACTGCGAGACCATCTGCACAGCACGGGCTGCAGGTGTGACATCAGACACGTGCGAGGAGTCAGAGAGGAGAGGTGGAGGCGGAGAAGGAAGAGGGAGAGCATTGTGAGCCTTATAAGGGAGCTGAGACCAGAAAACATTCCCGTTTCAAAGCGAGTTAATCCTGAGGTTTTCTGGACAGGACCCACTTTCCATCCTGCGAGCGGGTGTGCACGCGGAGCACGATGTGCCAAACAACACAAAGAGGAAGGGAGCTTCAGAAAGCGCCACAGATTGCCCACTGCAAAGCGATCACTGCACATATTCGTGTATTACTATGTTTTAGAAAATAATTAGTTTTAATTACAGCAGAGAGAGGAGAGCAGGGCTCTGGCGAATTAGCTGGCAAGCTCTGTGGAGCTGATTTGCTAATATCGGCAGCATCACTGCAGGTTGGGACCAGAGGTCCTGCCAAAACAGCCCACCCTGCCACGTGCCGCCAGCTCCCACGGGGGCGCTCCATGGGCGCGCCGCTCCCGCTGCCGGCTTTTCAAAGCCCATGTGCAGCCCCGTCAGCCCTTGAAGTCATCATTACACACACAAATCATAATTGGGATGTTTTTCTCTTTTTTTTTTCCAAATTACTTTCAATACTTAGACTTTAAGAACTGGAACAAAAAGCTTTTTCAAGTGATGCAGCTGCAGAGAAAAATCTATTGGGATCAGCTAAAAATGCTGTTATTTTTGTGAATGTGTGAAACCTCAAAACAGCAGCTGAGAGATATTACACGAAGTCCGCCTTGCTGCTTCGGGTGGTTTTACCTCTGGGGTCTAGCAAAATAGGAACTGGTAAATCTGTACATTGAGAAATAGAAGGGGGGAAGCAGGACGAGTGTGGGGAGAGGGGCTTATTTATGCAAGTTCACCCGTCCTCGTGGGCTATTCACAGAGTGGGCTCCAAGGAGCGGCAGCACGCAGTTCCAGAGACAGTGGCCAAGTCACGGACAGCGGCTTCTCCAATGGCTACCACAGTTTTGTCAGCATTTGTAACACATGATGTTCTTCATGCATTAAATGTGTCAATGTACACAAAAGCAATGTGGAAGCATAAGGAACTAGGTCATTATGTATTATGACAGTGAATGATAATAACACTGATTTAAAAATCAGACTTAGATGAATATAAGCATATATATTGACTTGAATTTCTCCAAACTTCTTCATTTAAAATAGATAAAATATTATATATTTTAAAATGGGCATTTGGGTTATACAAATACGAAAACTGTCAAAGATTGCATTGCTTTATTATTTTGAGAGACACATAGGATGTAGAGTAATAGCTCTGTTTAGTGCTCCTGCCTTACAATGTAAATTTTATCCTTCCAAAGGGACCACCAGGTCTTACTTTATGGTGGCTTTTCCCATCCTTTTGTTGAAATGCTTATTTTGCCTTCTTAGCAGAATTCTCAGGGAATCATGCACAAAGCCCCACTCTCCCAGGGCAAAGGGGTCCAGGGCACTATTTCTTCCCCTTTCCCAGGAGAGAGAGATGACCGCCATAGGGACGTGTTAAATCACGCCCTGCGCCCCTCCCCTCCCCCCTCTCCCGACCCAGCAGGTGAAGCTCAGACACGAAAGGGCAGCAGAGGACCCGGTGCAGATGCAGCATCTGCAGACACCGCACGCGCTCCCCTCCGGCTCCACCAGAGAAAGAAGATCCAGAATGACTCTGAGAGTCAGTGCGGGCCAAGGCCCCAAGGCAGCTGTCTCACCCGGGACTTGATATATTCAAAAGGACACAGAGAGCACATCGTGCGAGCGAAAGGGGACTTCCACGCTCATGCCTCCTCTCCCACTTGCTTCTCAGTCTCCTTCCGAGGCTGCAGACCATTCCCAGAGGATGGCAAAATAGGGCCAGAAACAAACGTGCACACACCTGTAATACTCGTGACTGTGTTTACATGTGGCAACTATATAAAGAACACTGTTGACACAACACACACAGTGTATGAGGAAAGCACACTCCTCTATCTAGCTCAGCATGGCCTGGGTACCCCTTGAGACCCCCCCTATGCTAACGCACCTCCACGTGGGCCAAACAGGAGATAGCAGGACCCACCATGTCCACCACAGCCCTCTCCCACCCGAGTCGGCCCACGGGACCATCAGCCTGAGCAAACCCAGCATGTGAGCCAGCATCACTCTCCCAGGAATCAGCCCATCACCCATACCCACTGCCCCTGCCCACTGTTCCTGCACACCACCCCTGCCCCTTGCCCCTGCCTGGCCACTCTCTAGAAAAGCTGAGTGAGCACCTTCAGACCTAGTGCTCCGCAGGAGCTCACTGCCCTGGGCCTGCCGTCCACTCCCCCGGAGCCAGCCCCACGGTCCTGCAGACACGCGTGGGCCCTCACCACATGCCAGCAAATGCTGAATCGTCACTATTCCTCGGATGTGCGGCATTATTACTTTCTATCAGGTAGCATTTGACTTAATAAAGCTGAAATAAAATCACATAAATGTGTAAAAAATTTTGATGAATGTTTAAATTATTAAAAATTCAATATTTCAAAATGCACAATGCAATAAAAAAATATATACTACTAGTCCGTATGAAAGCCTGTGAGGATAAATGGCCTTTCACGGAACAGATTACCTTTGTATGAAATAACAAATAACTGAATTATCTGAATAGTGTAAAAACCCCTCTCTGTGAATCTCCGTGAAATTGGTTATTCCTTAGGAATACATAAATCTTCTCAGGCAGGGCACGGTGCCATCTGTTTGTTGTTGGTTATTTTTGTGGCCCTGGAGTCCAAAGAAAAAGGGAAAAATGAGTATTGCTAATAGTAGGTGAGAATTTATTGTGTAGATTCAATGCTCTGAGGTAATTTTATTTCAGCAAGCCAGACAAAACCCATAATGCCACAACCCAGAGTCCTTATTACCTGGGGCAGTGGGGAAGCTTCTAGCTAACAGGCTGTTCAGAGCTCTGCCCTTGTCACCGCAGATGCGAAAACACCACCTCAGGGATGAAGGCGGCCTGGCCTTCCTCACCCCAGGAGGTCCTCTGTTTATGTAAAAACTTCCATTTTCACCAGCACTTCCTACTGCTTCCTGTTCCGAACCTTTCAAAGGGAGCAATCAGAAGAAGGCTGCACCCATCCGGCCCTAGACCCCAGGACTGGCTCCAGCAGGAGGGCAGGATGCGAGCCCAGCCCTATGTTCGCCTGCAAGAGAAGCAACAGCGCTGGGCGCTGTCAGGGACGAGCTCGGGGAAGGCAGCGCAGGCAGAGGCATGGAAGCGGTCCTGGGGCACCACCTCTGGCTCCACAGCGCTCTCCTCACACACCGGGGAGCAGGGCCCCGACTCCAGCCTCATTCGCTCCCGGAGGCTCCCACCCACAGGGCGGCTCTCGCTCCCGCAGGTGGGAGAAGCAACAGGTCAGGTGAGCTACATGACATTTTCTCAGCACGAGACCAGCACTCGGCTCCTGGGTGAGCAGGAGGCTTGCAGAGGTGGCTCAGGGCCTGAGGGTCTGAGAACACGGATATCTGCCCAGGTTTGGGCATTCTTGCTATTTTCGCAATCGGCTTACTGCACGAATCAGGTGGCATTTGGTAAGAAAGCCGTTGAGGTCATAAAGTGGGTTGAAAGATGTAAACATGCTGAAAATTTAAAACAGTTCTTTAGCAAAGTACCTAATTTCTCCACAATCTGCAAAGAGCATGTGGACATTTAAGGTGAGTTTCCCTAAAGGATAAAGGGACCACACTCTGCCCTCGGTTGTTTACTTTGAGGCAGGACGTTCACATTTGCCTCCATCAAGTGAGAAGCAGCCACTGTGTGGGCTGCCCGAAGCTCCCAGAACGCCCCCAAGAATGGCACTGAACTATGTCCACATGAGTTATACGAAATGTAATCCTCAAGTCCTAAAACGGTTAAGTAGACTGAGCAGGTTCCCAAGAAGCAGAAAGCAGTGTTTTCCCCACTTCACAGGGAGATGGAGGCTGGAGCCGGCGCGGTGCAGCCCGCGGGCGGGCCTCGGAGAGGGGAGGGCGGCCCGGCCGGCGGCAAGATTACCTGTGGAGCTGTTCACCATGTTGGGCGTCATGCTGTAGGGCGGCGCCTGCGTGTTCATCAGCCCCGAGCTGTTGTTCATGGGCTGGCTGTAGGGAGAGCTGGAAGCCATGAGTCCGCCCTGGTTCATGCCCGGGAAGCTGCCTTGCCTGTGAGAAGAGAAAGCACATGCATCTGTACACTGACCACGCACCGGCGGGCTTGCCCTGGTGGCCATTTCTCGGGATGCATCTATGCAAGGGGCGGGCTAGTATGGTTCATGTTTGCTTAAAATCATGTATTTTCTGGAGAGAGAGAGGCTGAACTCTATTGCTAAGTAGTTATTTAATGCACTACCTAAAATTCTAAATCATATAAACTTTACAAATAGATTCTACATTTTTAAGCTTGTTGAGATTTATATATAGGGATTATATAAGTAAGAAAGGGGGAACGTGAAATAATAACAGGAATTACAAAAGCAAGCAAAATTAACTACCATTTTAAAAGAGCTGACTCTTTATGAACATTACTTAATATCCTGCCATCAAAAACCAGAAGTCAAGAAATGCAAAACAGATAAGCAGGGTGGGAGGGTTATTTAAAAAGAAATCCCTGACCTAAATCTTCTGATCTACTGACTACGAGAGCGAGCACTTCCAAAATCCCTTCTACCCTCTTGTTTGACATGCTGACATTCGGGGCTGTTAAAGACACACCAGGTTCCTCTATCAGAGCCCACAGAGCGGCATTCTCCCTCGTCCCGCAGGGTTCCCTCGGCAGGAGGCCTTCAGAGCCCAGACTGGCAGTCAGTGTCCCTCCCAGGCTCCGGTCCTGAGGCCACGCTCCCCACGGCCGCCGATTCATGAACTTATCTTTTGGTGACCTAGTTTGGTTAGTTTTGTGTCTACGCTCTGAGAGACAAACCTCTTCACTCCTGCAAAGTGCAAAGGGGTACTCTTTGGTCAAAGGAGGCGAATGTCACCTCATTCACTCCAGTTAATTGGGGGGAGGGGGGTGGTGAGGGAGAGGAGGGTTTTAGCAGCAAGATGGTTTAATTCTCCCAGGAAAATTACTGCAAAGAAGATGATGGCAATGTGGCAAAATCTTTAAAAGACTCCACATTGTAGTCAAGCTTTTCTTTATACGGTACCTTTAAAAAATTTCTAAAAAAATTTGGCTATTAATATTTACTCTTAGAAGTAAAGCTAACGGGAAAGGAAAAAATCAGCTTTGCCTGTCTGTTCCAAATGAATTATGATTTCTACCCCCTCCGCCTCTATTAAACCATCGTTTATTGGCTCCTAATATATAGTAAAAAAAATGTTTTAAAGATATCCTTTAAAAGATGAATATAAGTCATTAATGAAAAACATGTACTATTCTCTCAGTGTAGCTATTTTCAGTCTGCACTGCCCTTTCTCAAACACAAGGTGATGAATGTAGATATTACAGAGGTTTTAAAAAATACCTTTAAAATAACAAAAAATTAAAGATGTAAATGTCTGTGTTGGATGCCAGTTGCTGGAGGCCGGAAGTTTTTAAGAGTCTGGTTAAAAGCCATGGGTCGTGACTCTGTCACGAGGAGACTTCCATGGTCGCCAGGATCTGGGAACAAATCGAGTCGGCTCTGGACCTCAGCTTCTACATATAAGCACGGAGGGACTGACCATGACTTTAGCATGAATACTGTGTGAAGTGCATGCAAATATGCATAACGTGTTTTCTAGGCACTTTACACAGTTAATTTTTTAAATTCCCGGAGGAGGGTGGGTGGAATTATGCTCATATACACAGAAGGGATCAGAGATGTTAAACACTGGCCTAAAAACACACAGCTACTAAGTGGTAGTAAAATTTTTGGTTCTGTGAAACCTCCTAAAGAGTAGAAAATTTATGCAATATAGTCA